ACCGGATAATCACTGTGCAGGCGGGTTAGAAAAATATACACACAGCATATTCACAAGGAGATAATCATGCTTATTTAAAATCTGACTGTAACATCCACCGTTTTGTGTAAAGGCACAAGAAACTGTAGCCCCTCCTCTGTAGTGGCAGACAGAAATAAGGGACGTCCCAGAGTTTGGAGGGGAGAGTGTGCTTTACTTTTCCACAGTGAAAAAATACGACCGGACCACCTTAGAATATCCCTACAGCCGCGTTTACATCCGACACGCTTTAAGGATGAAATCAAAACAACAAATAAAGTGAGATAATGTTTATGTAACCAGCTGAGGTTAAATGGTGCTTTATTTAAACTGGGCTACTTTTTACTCAATACAGTTATTTTCATTTCTAAATGAGAATCAGAAATAATTGAGATGAAGCTAAGAAAAAATAAAAATAAAAACAATTACACGAGTAATTTAGGTGCCTTGATTTTTACTAAATCAGAGGATTCCCAAACCGGAAGAGCAGAGAGGATTGTTGGAGCCCAAAGCGCGGCACACAATAGCGGACCTGGAACAAGTGCTGCTGGCTACATATGCTGCCTCTCGGATCTGGGAATCATATCAAACCAAATGTAACAGTCTTCTGGTTCCAGCTTTGAAAACAAATGGGCTGTTAATTAACTTGCTCAGTGACCAGGCTAAATACTATCAGTGTTACAAGCTGATAACAATTAGAGATCTGCAGAGAGGTTGGCCGGGGGACAGAAAAGGCGATTTTACACTTCGCAAATGAAAAAATCTGTTTGTTTTTTTCTCTTTAAAACACCAAATGTTTTAAACAAGGGGAGGAGGGTGATATTTGATGGGGCTGAATGTTCATTTAGTGACACAGACTTAAGCAGAATAAAGGAAGCTGAATTTATTCCTGGAAAAAGTTTAATCCTTTTTAATAATCTGGTTTTGTCCATCATCAATCAGGCTACAGTTTTAAATTGTGAATATTTTTTTTGTTAATTTCACAGTAAAACTAGAGGTCTGACAAACCTACAGGAGAAATTATAAATAGGTAGGTAGTTTGTAATTGGCTAAATGCAAATATAGGATGCTTATAATATTTATTAAATGTTGTTTAGCTGCAGAAATGTGCAATATAACTGCTCACCTGCAAATAATAAAACGTGGCCTCAAGATTCATATAAACAATTAATAATACAGCCCATTTTCAGTAGTGCAAATAAGAAATAAAAGCAAATGAAACAATAAAGCGTGAGCTGTAAAACAGAGAAGTTGAATTTAGTAGGTTTTATTTACCGTATATTTGGTAAGTTGGAAGATTTTTTTTTTTTTCTTCCAGTGCATTTTGGGATGTTATTTAGAAATCATTCATGTGTTTTATCACAAAGATTTTCTGTTAGGGAAGCTCTTCTTTTTTTTTTTATATGCTCAATTAGGGGAAAAAAGTTCAAATAAAAAAAGAAATTTGTGTTTTTAGAGAAAAGGCAATAAAATAAAACTGCAATCAGCAAATCAGAGCATTAAAAAAACAAACTGTTTGTAAATCTGCCTGAAAACGTACATTTTTGCAGTGTTTAAATCATTTTAAATGCTGTAGCAAAACGATTAAATAATGAGGACATTGAATTTACTGTTTCTGGAACAAATTTAGCTAGACACATTAAATCAGAAGTGCTTTGACTGTAACCATCCTTATCGTTCAGATGGAGGGCAGCCATGTTGGATTTAGAGGTTGGATCAGTGAGAAACGTCAAATTTTCCTTCTTAGAAATTTGACATCTCTTTTTTGTTGCTTTTTTTTTTAAACAAACTGAAACAAATCCAGGTGTGTCGCTGCTTGGATTCTAAATATTTGAATTTAATGATCTGGAGATAAAACAAAAAAAAACAACTGAGAACCAGTGAAGTAACAAACCTCAGCCTCTCATCTGATGAAGCCTGACTGCTGATCTCTTGCTCCCTCTGGTGGCCACTCCTGCACACCTCATAACCACTCCAAAGTAGCGCACATAGAAACATTCACTCATTAGGGTAATGCTTGTGCTTTTATAGGAGACCTTGGCTCAGACCAAGAGTGATGATGATGCGGATCCCCGTCTTCTGCTTGTGAAGCTAAATCTGTGAGAACCCATGTTTCTGTCTGCCAGGTGTGGTGATTAGTCTGCTCACAGCAAACATTTTACAAAGAAATATCTCTGAGTCCATAAAGAAAACAAACCAAACAAGTCCTGGCAACTGGCCAATAGAAGATGTGTCGACAACTAGACGCTTTATCTCTATGCAGAAGGCACCTGCATAGATGCTGTAAATACTGTAAGATACATGCAGAGCGAGGAGAAATCATCAAAAATACAACAAGTTCATGCTCTGAGTATGCTCTGTGTTTGGGGAGGGATAACAGTTTGGAAGCCCCCCCCCCTCTTAGATTAGATTAATGCAACCAATAATTAGATGGCGTTCATCTATCTCCAGTTTCACTAAGGCATCACAGAAATATCAGTCGTACCATGCTCTACAGTGAAGATCTACAGTTAATACTGGGAAACTGGGCATGCAGGTCAGCGCGCCGCCTCCAGCAGCACGTGGTGGGAAATCAACGCGACTAATGGACAGAAAGCATGAGGGAAAATTAAACAGAGAGACATTCTGCTAAATGATCAGCATCGCTCCAACCGCTTCAAAAAAAAATGCCACCAGACTTTAGGTTTAACAGCCCAACACTGGCAATGCTGTGCAAAGGTATTCACGCCCCCTTTGGGAAGATTTATACATAACTACATGTTTTTATTTCTCTATGGAGTGAATCGTTCTCCATTATTGTTGCAATGCAAATTTGAAAGAATAAATAAAGAAAAGATGCAATGTAGAAGTGAAACTTTGAAAAAACTTCTTTAGAAAAAAAGTTTTGAAAGTAACTGTTTTCATAGATTTTGTTTCTTATACTTTATTTCTTCCATTTTGTTATATTTTATTTCAGATTTTTTTCAGATTTTGTCTGTTTTCCGATTTCGTTTTTACATTTTTTTTATTGGGTTTAACAAATCATATTTTCTTTGAAAGTATTGCAATTTGTAAAATGAAATAAAAAAAGAGAAATTTGAAAAAGTAGCAACAAAAATAAAAAATATGAAAAATAGAAAAAAAAGGGAACTCAAAAACTTTTTTTCTAATTAAAAATTTTTCCTGGATTACTTTTTTTTTTGCAACAATAATGGAACAAAACTCACTCCATAAAAACAAAGTGGCTCATGAGGGAAGTTTGAAATGTATTCAGAAAGTGGAAGCAGACTCACGACTCCAAAATTTTGGAAAATTTATAACATAACTACCTGATTTTAATTCTCTATGGAGTGAATCGTCCTCCATTATCGTTGCAATGCAAATCTGAAAGAATAAATAAATAAAAGATGCAATGTAGAAATGAAACTTTGAAAAAACTTCTTTAGAAAAAAAGGTTTTGAAACTAACTTTGTTTTCATAGAATTTGTTTCTTATATTTTATTTCTTCCATTTTGTTATATTTTATTTCAGATTTTTTTCAGATTTTGTCTGTTTTTCGTTTTTACATTTTTTTTTATTGGGTTTAACAAATCATATTTTCTTTGAAAGTATTGCAATTTGTAAAATTAAATTAAAAAAGAGAAATTCGAAAAAGTAGCAACAAAAATAAAAAAATATATATGAAAAATAGATAAAACAATAGAAACAGCAAAGTTACTCAAAACCTTTTTTCTAATTAAAAATTTTTCCTGGATTAATTTTTTTGCAACAATAATGGAACAAATCTCACTCCATATTCAACAACGATGCTCATGAGGGAAGTTTGAAACCTATTCAGAAAGTGGAAGGAAACTCCCTGCTCCGAATTTTTATGGCTGCTCTGAAAAAAGATAATACTGTATATTATCCTGAACACACCATGAGGAAGCATGGTGGTGGCAGCATGATGCTGCAAACTAAAAGCCTGCAAAAAAACCCTTAAAACTGGGGCGAGGATTCACCTTTGAACTCAGCAGAACTTTGAACCTCCAAAGAAACAAAAGCAGCAGTTCTGTCGTTTACAACTAGAACAGGTTTGGCTGATAAATGAGCTTTAATATTCAAACCAGCCGCTTTAAAAAAGTTTTCCTAAATGCGACTGGTTCAGACTTGTCAGAGTTTTGTTTTTTGTTATATTCATGAAGATTTGAAAACCGACAAACAAATATATCCTTCTTTTCTACTTTGTGTTGATGCACCACAAAAATAAATCTAAATTAAAGAGAAGAAGGTTTGCGTTTTAAAGGGGTGTGAATACTTTTACAAAGCTTTGAATTTGCAGCCAGCAGAATTAGGTGGGAATCTGTAGATAAACAGAAGCAGGAGCGACAGAAACCTTCCTTCCAGTAGAGATCTGCCTTCTAAACCCAGCGGGTGAAGAAAGCGCCGTCGCCCGACTTTACGGGACGGATCGGGATGATCCCCCCTCCGACGGCGGGAGAAAAAGGAAATCCCCCGGAGACTCTCATATCATGTCGGATAACACCTCGACGGATACACTCTCTCCTCAGTGTAAACAAAACAAGCTTTCTGAATAAATCATGAGTATTTACAAAGTGTCTGTAAGGCAGGGAGGGGAGAGGTAGAACAAAAACATTCCAGCTGAGGCAGAGGGTTGTTATGGATGTCGGATTTCTGTCACAGCTCGTGATTGCGGATCAAAAGACGGACGGCGGAGGGAGAAGTATGGCTGGTGACCAAGAGAGCTACTTATTGGAAGGAGGCCACAGCAGGTGAAACTGGGAGAGGCATCCTGGTGTTGTTCTGAGCTTCGATGGATTTAAGACAAGAGCCCCATGTGAAAGGGGGAGGGGGGGGCACATCTTCACCGTGCACGGAAAATGAGTTGGAAAAACTAAAGAACAACGAACTCTTGGTTGTTTATTGGTGGGTAATGGAGGCAGAGGGGAAGAAGAAGGAACCTCATATTTGTTAGACTTTGTGATCCCACTCCACTATTATTGCTTTCCTGTTTTTTTTTGTTTTTTTTCCACAGGCACTTCAGAGGATTGGGCTTTGGCTGAAGTTGGAGCGTGAGAGAGGAGGCTGATGGGAGATGAGAGAGGAGTGACAGATGGCGCTAAAAGTGTGCTTGTGAATCTCCAATTTGTTTGTCTGCAACCAAAGACGGCTGCCTCCCAGCAGTAGAGTGATCGTTCTCGCTGAGAAACAGTGAGGTTTGGGATCGCTGGTGTTTGAGTGAGTCAGAGAGCACTCTCCTCACCTCCCCCCCCCATCCCCACCTCACAGCTGGGGTCAGAACCTGAGGACTCCCGAGGCTGAGGGTGGGCCTCCCCCCGTTGCTTCTACCCGGCGTTTAACATCCATCCTCCGTCAGTCCGTGTGGTTGTTTGCGTGCTTCTCGTCTGCGGCCGGCGATCCGTCCACGTCCTTGACCTTCCGACCCCCTCGCCCCGTCAGGACTTTGTAGCAGCCGCGGGCGATCTTATACATCCAGATTGTGTTCAAGACATCCAGGGCGATGCAAGACGTGATCCAGGCCACCTGGGCTCCCAGGCCCAGGCGCTCGAACTCCGGCGTGCCGAAGGTTGCGAACACGCTGGCCCAGTAGGACGGCATGACGCCGATGCGGACCAGGAAGAACACTACCGCCATGGCGACGCCATTCAGCACCACCATCCGGTGTGAGCGCGGGTACTTTAATGCCTCAAAAAACCACCTGAGAGAGAAAGAGAGCAGGAAGATTACAGTTTGTTTATTAATGGGGAAGAAGGTAGAAAAGTTACCCAGACGACAGCCTGTCAACAAACTAACATTTTAGAAAAGCAGATTATTAAAGCTGTAGGGAAACTGCTGTTCCAACCGTTGCATTTCTGAATTCTCCCGAGTGGTGCCAGACTTTAAACGAGTGAATAAAATGAATGTGATTGGTTGTTTATTAAAAGGGCGGGATTGCTGTGGCGGAAAGTTTGCAAGCCTATTCTGTTGTGGACGGTTTCTCAGAAGCATCTTGCTAACCAGTTAGCAACTTAGTGCTTGTAGGTTCCCAATGGGAAATTCCATTGGGACCAAGTAGCACTAAATTGCTAACCAGTTAGCAACTTAGTGCTAGTAGGTTCCCAATGGGAAATTCCATTGGGACCAAGCAGCACTAAATTGGTGACTTAGAAAAAATGTGACTCAATGGTAAAGTCAATGATCCGTATTTCAACCGTTGCGTATATTAGCTGCGACATATGAATCAAGAAGCTATGACCGAAAACATTTGATTGACAGATGACCGTTGATTGGCCGAATTTAGGTGTACAGGCTGACGTATAACTAACTGGCCTGCATAAGATACCAAAAAAACCCTACTGATTTTAAGACAGGACTTTTTTTTATATATATATAGAAATTTTCAAAATTTAGAGACAATATTGTCTGATAAAGAGTACATTTATATACATGTTTAAGCCAGAATTATTTGATATTTGAATATTATTCTCCCACAGCAGTGTGTTGTAGCTATGACGCAGATACTTTTGATTTATCCAAATATTGAAGCGTGGTCTGAGCTATGTTATTCCACACCACAATGCAAGAGGGACAGTCACCAACTAGCTGTGGGTCTAGATACGGCCGAGGCGGTGAGTATGTGGGGGCAAGTTTATGCGACAAGGAGGGACATGAGGGCGAGGAAGAGCAGGGATCCGGGAGAAAAAAGGTTCCCAGCGTCCTCGTTCACTTCGCTCTTCTAGCTCGTCCATCTTTATGAGTCATCTTACACAATGGAGGTCATACAAACAAAACAAGCCGGTAAGGTACCAAACAGGAAATACGCATAGTGTAGAGCGGATGTAGATTTGACCAATCAGAGGCCTCCTGTCTGCGGTCACCTACAATATTGGAGAGGTGCAGCAGAGTGTCTGTGGAAGGGGTGGGGCTTATCTGCATTCGCTGCGACACACACAACCTGGTTTCTGAGAATAAATCAGCATTTAGTCTATAAATAAATGACATTACAGACGTAACAGAGTTTATTAAGCATAATTTCTACTCTGCAAACCCAGAACCAGACATGACGAAGCAGCTTTTAGTTCTTATGCCCCATTAATCTGAAATAAACTTCTGGCAAGTTGTAACAGGGTTTACAGGAATGAATAACTCTAACTTAAAGGTTTTTAATGCTCTTTTAATGCTCTTAGAAATAATTTTAATGCCACCAACAGGTACCCGTCGACAGGCTGCAGCCATGTCCCGAATTCCTCGTTTTGAAGCCAAATTTGTTGAAATTTGCCCCCCCCCCATTCTCCCAATATAATATATTATAATAATATTATGATATAATATGTCTGACGAAATTTTTTTTTTTATAAAAATTTTTTTTTAAATAAAGCATTTTTAAATGCCACAATAATCAAATTTTATGAATTTTAATGCCAATTAAGGCCTTAATTTAAAAAAATTAATAATTTAATGACTTTTAATGATTTTTAATGACCCGCGGAAACCTTTTGTAAAAGTAAAAAAATTTAAGTTGTGTCTTTAATTTTTCTTTAAATTGTTTTGTTTCTTAGTTCATCATCTAGAGCTCACAAAATGTGCTACAAAAAACTTGCAATGAAGAATAATCAATCAATGTGTCTTTAATTGCAAATTGTATGACATTTCTGCAAAGACAGTTAAGCTGCATTCATTTCTATGGTTTACATTAGAAAGAACTTTAAAATTTAACATCAAAACATTATAAGTAAGTTTAAGAGGTAGGATTACTTTAGCGTGGCAGATAAAATGCAGATTATCTTACCTTTGGTTCACAAATGGCGTGGACAGCTCTGAAATGAGACGGAAATTGGCAAAATAAGGAAGCACCCCCCGTGTCTGCAAAAAAACGAGACGATCCATTAGTTGGAGATCATTGAATCCACATCTCCTCTGAGGATAGAGGTACTCACCAACACGTATCCATATGCATACAGCGCCGCCAAGTGGTGGCAGACAAAAAAGCTGTCCCCCATGGTGCTCCAGTTACATGCTAGCAGAACAAGGTCTGAAAGGAAGAAATGGGGGGGTTCACAGAAAAACAAGGTAGGTTATGTTTGAACTTCTCAGACTATAACAAATAGTTTAAATCAAAGCATTTACACCGAATAGTTGCAGGAACAGAACATTTCTGAGATTAACCCCGAAATCCCACATCCTCCGTGTCCGCTCTGCTGCGCCCCAGATCGCCTGCGCAAAGCAAAGCCTACATCCTCCACGGTTCCATTCGTATGGAGTCAGGAAGGGGTCAAAATTTTTGTAAACTCAGAAATATTAGTTGAAACTGAAAAAATAAAAGTTGAAATGGAAGAAATAGAAGCTGATACTGAATGTAATTTTTTTCCCCCTATAATCTGAGGAACTACAAAGGCAAACATAAAATAATACACTGGAAAAACGATCTAGAAATAAGTAAAAATTTCTTAGATTAAGTGTATTTACCCTTAATTTGAGCAGGTAAATGAGATAGTTTGCCAATGGAATGAGTATTTACTCTTAAAATAAGATAGTTAGATAATATGCACTTGAAATACGACAATGCAATTTTTTTTTTAATTTTAAATGTAAATTATCTTGTTCCATTGGCAAAATGTATATTTTACCTCCTCAATACAAGAAAAAATGCACTTATTTTAAGAAAAAATGACTTATCTAGATTTCGATTTTTTTCTACTGTAAGCATTATATTTAAATTCTTCCCTTCAGCTCAAAAAAACTCATAATTCAGTTTAGTATTTTAATCACACTTTTTCTTTTTTTTCTGATTAAACAGATTAGCAGTGTCACTCAAACCACTCAGTCCAGGCGCTATCTATTCGGGAACGGATGTAGAATTTACTTTTTGGTCGTGGGAAAGTTTTGTGGTTTATAAAATGACTGCTTATTTTTATATATATTAAGGTATTCTGGAATGATTATTAATGACCATTCCAGTGTATTAAATGTAATGTTTTTCATGGGATTTTCCCAAAAAGGCAAATAAATGCTGCAGAGAATGTGTTCACAAAGTTGTTGGAGTTCCCACAGTCCATGAATGCAACATGTAATGGGACATCTTTCCAGCGCTGCTGCAAGCTGTCAATCACGTTTCCCCGCCCACTCACATCAGATTGGGGTCAAAATCCGAATGTGAAAAAAAAATGATTTGAAAGTGTAAAAAAAATTTAAATAAAAAAAAAAATCCTGAAACTCAAAAAAATGGATTTGAATCTGAAAATATAAACTCTAAAGCTACAATAAAAAAATAAAAAAATAAATAAAATAAAAACGGGATTTAAAATCCCAAACTGAATTATGAGTTTTTTCAAGCTGAGGGGAAGCATGTAGATTCAATTCTTATTATTTCATGTTTAATTTTTCAGTTTCTCAGACTTTATAGTAAAAATATGACATTCCATATCAACTTCAATTTTTCTTGTTTAAATTCTTAATTTTTTTGTTTCAAATAAGTTTATAAGTTTACAAATATTTTGTCCCCTTTTTGACTCCATACTCCTGTCTTGCTCCGCTCCAACTTCCTCGGAGCTCAAGGAGAGCAAGTGCTATAATATTATTAAATTCACAGGAGCAAAACATGCGGAAATTAACGCTTAAGTTATAACATATTTAAAAAAATCCCCATTTCATCCAGCATATGAGCAGTTTTTGCACAAATATTTTCCTTTTGTTGTGGATTATTGTAACAGGGATAACTAGGGTCATACATGTTTTTTATGAACTGTTTGTTCTCTACCGTTAAACTCAGCATCTCTTCATCCCTGCCAAGAAGTTTGTTTTAAGTTTTAAGCCTCTTGTTATAAAATAAATATGTTGATCAAGATGAGAAATCTGGT